ACATCTGCTCACCTTGCGTCGGGGCGGGGGCGTTGGGATGCCTCTCGCCCTGTGACTGCCCTCCCTGGGGTCTTGCGTGTCTAGGGCCAGTCCCGCCGGGTGCAGCACAGACATGTTTCAGGGATGATGGCTTCTTCCTAACTGAATTGAATGTAGTTTTTTGGTTAATTTCATGTTTGTTTTTTTAAAGATATACCCCTTATTATAAATGTGGTCTTCCAGAAGATTTCTGTACATTTCTAGAAGGTTACATCTTTTTTCATTTTTTTCTAAAATGAGTACTTTTTTAAAGTTTATTTTTTTGAGAGATGAGAACTCCCATCCACTGGTTTACTCCCCAAACGCCCACGAATGTCAGGGGCCAAAGCTGGAAGCCGGGAACTCAACCCCGGTTTCCCCCATGGGTGGCAGGAGCCCCACGGCTTGACAGGCTGGAGATTGCTGGGGGCCTCAGTTTCTGGGGGTCACCCCAGGGCCGCCTTGTGCTTGAGATTCCTGCGAGTCGAGGTCACAGGGCTCCTGGGTCAGCAAGCGTTCACTGGTGCTGTGGGGCCCTGGAGAACGGGCGCTTTGTTGGCCTCTGTGCTGTAAGGCAGCTGTGTGGCTGCTTCGTCTCCGTGTGACAAGACAAGCGTTCTTGTGTCCAGGGTCTCCACTCTGAAAACCGAGTTCCTGCCGCTCCTCAGTGTGTCCTTTGTCTCCGAGAACAGCGTCGTGGCCGCCGTGAGTATTCCCCTTCATTCTTCCTCATAACGCACGTGTCATCCTCCAGACGGGAACAATGTGTCCTCTGTGACGTGAGCTCAACGCAGAGCGGCCCTGTAGACGCGACAGAGTTAGCCTTGAAGAGAGGAGAGGCCTGTGGGGGTGGGTGCTCTGCTGGGCAGGGTGCCCTCCGGGGGCTGACGGGAACCTTGTTTCAGGGCCATGACTGCTGCCCGATGCTGTTCAACTACGACGACCGCGGCTGCCTGACCTTTGTCTCCAAGCTGGACATTCCGAAACAGAGCATCCAGCGCAACATGTCCGCCATGGAACGCTTCCGCAACATGGACAAGAGGGCCACGACCGAGGACCGCAACACGGCCCTGGAGACGCTGCACCAGAACAGCATCACGTAGGTGCCGCTGCTTGTCCCCGGGCCTGGCCCCCTTAGAGCAGCGGTAGGGGACCCACCTGTCCCCTGCCGCCTTCCCCGCATACCGCCCATACAGGCGCGGGCCCCCCCATTTCAGCAGTGCACACCCTGAGAAGTGTGACTTCTGGCTGCCAGGCTTGTATTTCCCGCTTCTAACAAACCGCGCAGAGCTGGGGCCCGGTGGGCAGCTCCTCCCGCTCGCTTTCTCAGCGACTTGGTGGGGAGCATAAGGAGACCTTCCTGGCCGGCGCCGCGGCTCACTAGGCTAATCCTCTGCCTTGCAGCGCCAGCACACCGGGTTCTAGTCCCAGTCAGGGCGCCGGATTCTGTCCCGGTTGCCCCTCTTCCAGGCCAGCTCTCTGCTGTGGCCAGGGAAGGCAGTGGAGGATGGCCCAGGTCCTTGGGCCCTGCACCCAAGGACCAGAAGCTGGCTCCTGCCATCGGATCAGCGCGGTGCGCCGGCCGCAGCGGCCATTGGAGGGTGAACCAACAGCAAAGGAAGACCTTTCTCTCTATCTCTCTCTTCACTGTCCACTCTGCCTGTCAAAACAAAACAAAAACAAACAAACAAACAAAAAAGACCTTCCTGCAGGCTGAGTGTAGGGGTGAGCACATGACAGGACTCAGGTCTGCTGTGTTTGGAAAGGTGACTCCAGCCACCATTCCAGTCGCAGCTTCTGCTAATGCAGTGATGTCAGATCCTCTACTTACGAAGGGAGCGGAGCCCTTAGCCTCCTTACGACAAAGCTGAGGGGTCTCCGGACTGCTGTGCCACCAGGCTCTGTGGGTTTACAGGACAGAAGAATTGTGTCTGGTCCTGAAAGTTTGATTGTTTTAAAATCTAGAGAAAAAAATTCTTGATATTTTGAGTTATTTGGGTACCATGGGATTTTTTCTTTCTGATTAGACCTTTTCTGCTGAGACTTTGATTGTGTCGGTGGCGGGAGGGCTAGTGGAGCCCTCTGGACTTTCTCCTCGAGACACTATTAAGTACAGGCTGTGCCTCTCAGGTTCAGTGAGAGGCGGCTGAGTTGTCTGCTCCTCCTGAGCGGGGTGTACCTTCTCTCCTCACTTTAGAGTTCTGTCTGGAGTGACCCCGTTATCCTTGTGAATTTCTCCGAAGCTCCCCTGCCGGTCGTGTGTCCGCAGACCCCCAGCGCCGCTCAGCCTTGTGGGTGGGAGACGAAGAACCAAGCCCTTGCGGACTGCAAAGTGCACTTTTCTTGCCGGCAGTCAGGGCGTCTGTCCCTGGAGCTGTCAGCGGCTCCTCCTGTGAGGCCCGAGAGTAGATGTGTCAGGCTCCGAGGAGCCGTCTGGCCCCTCTTGCAGCTGCTCACCTCTGCCTTTGGTGCAGACGCGGCCACGACGACACGGAAATGAGTGAGCTGGCTGTGGTGCAGGGAAGCTCGAATTGAACGTACTTCTCGCATGCCGTGAGACAGCAGTCTTCCTTGAATTTTTGTCCAACCATTTAAAAACACGGAAGCCATCCTTAGCCCCCAGGCTGTACAAAAGCAAGCAGTGTGTGCCCTAGGCCGCCATCCCCTTCCCTAGCGGGAAGGTTCTAGACGCTGCAGAGGAGAAGGAGAAAGACTGTCTGAGCTGGGAATTGATTTTCTTGAAAGCTTTCCAGGTAGCGAGGCTGTTCGTCTGCTTTGCCTGCCTGACAGCCGCTAACATTGAGAATGAATGGTTAATTTCAAATGCAAGGAGGGCCCGGCTCAGTGCTCCGGCTGTCCTAGTGGGCCATGGGGAGGTTTGGTTTGGAGCCAGTTGGATTTCAGTCACGCTTCATCGCACCCCTGGTTTTGAATATTTATACATATATGTGTGTGTATACATATGTGTGTGTATATATACATACGTGTGTATGTGTGTGTGTGTATACACACGTCCTTTCCATTTCCATCCACACTGTGGCCTGCCCACAGCCTGCTTGCCAGCGTTCACCTGTCCTGGGGGCCAGATCTCCCGGCCTCGCCCAGCCACTCTCATCTGGACTCTCACCTGGTAGTAAGATGGTTTGGGTCTTTTCGGAGTTAGATTTCCACAGCCTCATACTGATGGGCAAGTGAATATTTAGGAGTGAACTGGGCCAGGGTTGTGGTGTGGGTTAAGCTGCAGCGTGCAACGCGGCATCTCCTATCAGAGCGCTGGTTCAGGCCTGGCTGCTCTGCTTTGGATCCGGCTTCCTGGTAACAGTGGAGAGTGGCCCAAGCACTGCCACCCATTTGGGGGACCCGGATGGAGTTCCTGGCTCCTGGCTTTGACATGGCCAAGCTGACTTGTGTGTGTGTGTGTGTGTGTGTGTGTGTGCTTTCCTTCTCAGCCTTTTGGATGTGTAAACCTTTAAAGAGCATATCCAGGAGTTAAAAGCAGCCCATTCCCTTACATTGCCCGTACACGGTGAGGAAGGCCAGGCTCACTTCCACCACGTGCCGGCAATCTCATTTGCTTTGCTTTCCTTTCAGTCAAGTGTCTATTTATGAGGTGGACAAGCAAGACTGTCGCAAATTTTGCACAACTGGCATCGATGGAGCCATGACAATTTGGGATTTCAAGGTATTTCTGCCTTTCGGAACGAATCTGTTTGTGTTCAGACTCTTCCTATAGAATAATGTTTCTTAGTTCTTGAAATGTTGTCCAACATTGTCAAGATGGAGAAGGAGGAGCCCCTGAGGGTCTTGTCAGGTCAGGGAGCGGTGGAGGGAAGAGTCAGAGCTCCGCAGAGGCCGGCACCCCTGTTTCTGCTGGAGGGAGGTGTCGGGAGGGCGGGACTTGGAGAGTAAACTGATGTGAGCAGGCTCAGAGCATACAGGGCGCTCCCGGCACCGCCCTGGCCTGGGCCCTATGGAGGCACAGGAGCTGGAGGGAGGAGCCAGGCGAGGCCGTGTGTGCAGAGGGCTGCGACTCCTCGGAACCCCAGGAGGAAGAGCAGGCCGCAGGCGAGGGCCCCGGACTGCAGCGCTGAGGACGGGCGCTCCGGCACAGGGCCGCGGCCGGGAGGTTCTAGAGGGCCCAAGAGGAGGGCCCAGTGACAGTCAGGGGCAAATCTGGACTCCGCCCTTTCTCACTGGGACTGCACCTGGTGGGCGAAAGAGGGAACCAGGAGGAAGAGCCAGGGCAAGAGAAAGGTTGGCTCGGGATTTAACTCCTTCCGGTCGTGAACCTCCGAAACAGATGCACACCGACACAGTTTTACCACTGGCTGCGCCTTCCACGGTGATGGACCCCATCCCCGTCTAGCCCAGGCTCGGAGCCTTCAGACGAAGAGCGGGCAGCACCTCCTCCCCTTCCTCCGCTCCTGGGCGGTTGGCACCACCTGGGCAGTTGGCACCCAGCCCCCAACCAGCTCGCCTGTTCCCTCTGACCCATGTGGGCCAGGAGCCATGGAGCATTTCTCCCCTTAATGCACGTGCGGGCTGTACCCAGCTGGCTGCCGTTCGGGCATTTAGTGTGGTGAAGAGGCAGGGCATGCAGCCAGGGGCCCTCGTCCACAAAGGCCAGTGACACAGGACGGGGAGCTAGCCCGGCCCTGTGGGCTGGGAAGGCCAAGGGAGAGCCCCGCTGGCGCGGCTCTGCAGGGCGGAGGCGGGGAGGGGCTCAGCCGCGGGGAGTGACCGGCCCCTTCCTGCCTCTCTGCAGACCTTGGAGTCGTCCATCCAGGGCCTCCGGATAATGTGAAGCTGCGCGAGCCTCCGCCATCCAGCATGACCGCTGCGGCTCTGCCATTAGCATGATGGTGAGGAAAGCCAGCCCCGAGGAGACACAGCGCGCAGACCCCGCGAGTGTCTGACTGTAATTGGTGAAAGTGTCGGTTTTTTAAAGCAGCAGTGTTTTTTTTTCTTTCTTTCTTTCTTTCTTTCTTTTTTTTTTTTTTTTTTTTCGATTTCATTCCATTCTTGACCAAAGCTTCTCTTTAAGTAGTTTATTATGGAAGATTGTCCACTAACTTAAAGGAAAGGGTGAGGGGGGTATGTAAATTGTCCACTAGAAAAGAAAATAAAAATCCTCAATGTGTTCGGTTTTTGTTTGCATTTTTAGTAGGAAAATCTGGTGAACAGGGTGAGGTTCTTCATCAGAGTGAATGTTCATTTATAGGCTGAAGTCTTAGATGTCAGCCTCTTAAACTGCCCGTCCTAGACAGCCTGTGACCAGAGAACCATGGACCGGGAGGGGAGGTCCCCGGGGGCCGTGCCCGTGGCGTCTGAGTAACAGGGCAGCCTGTGGCCCAGAGCGCCCGGCCGGCATGGGGCTCTGGAGTGTGCGAGTGGGAGGGAGGAGCCGCCGAGGGGTTCAGAGGTTGTGGGGCCCAGACTGACCGGGCTCGTCGTCCTCAGCTCTCGTGTGTGGCCCCCAAGGCCGAGTCTTAAGAGGCACAGCATACATGAAGAGCGAAGGACATGCACCGGGCGCTCGTGAGCGCGGCCCTGCCGCCGCCTCCCTGCACGGGTGACCAGGGCGGCGGGGCCGGCGCGCGGGCGGGCTGCCTGCTCTCGGAAGCGGCTCACTTTGCCCTCTTGGTGGCTTCCGGGAAGCCTCCCTTCCTCTAAGAGAGAATCTTAGCGCGGGGGTGCTGGCCGGCGGCGCTGCCTCCTCGCCTGTGCCGTGGCCAGCGAGAGCACCCCGTGACTGGTGTTTCTGTACGCACTGCGCCAGCAGGGCCATCAGCCACAGACTGGGGGAGCAGAGCCGGCCGGGAGGCAGGAATCGGCTGCCATCTGTAGTTTCATTACATCACACAGTTGACCAGCAGGCCTGGAGCTCTTTGGAGAGACAGTGTATGTAGAGAAACAACAAAAAGGAAACAGGATGTGCCGGCTTCGGTTGTTTCGGTGGTGGTGTAGGTGTAACCCAGGCCCCTGTAGTCGCGGCGCGTCCCACGCCTGCACACTCGGCCGTCACAGCTCAGAAGTGCGAGCACACCGATGCCGACGCGTGCTGGCTGTCTTCCTCGTCACTCCCCAGCCGTCTATAGCGTTTCCATCGTATTAGGGATCACAGGCAATCCAGAGATGACTGTAAGCATATGGGAGGGGGTGTTGGGCACGCGGTTCAGGCGCTGCCCGGGACGTCTGCGTCCTGGCTCAGAGGGCGTGGGTGTCAGTCCCAGCTCCGCTCCGGCTTCCGGCTCCCTGCTAATGCACACCCTGGGGTCAGCACCTGGGCCCCTGCCGCCCGCACGCACGGCAGACCTGGACTGAGTTGCTGAGTCGCAGGCATTCGGGAAGTGAACCAGCTGAGGGGACTGTGGGCTCGCTCTCTCTGCAGACTACCTGCAGACTACACCGTTTCACACAAGCGGCTCGGACGTCTGCCCATCTTGCTTCCTGCCGGGGCGGCCAGAGCCAGGCTCCTCCCTCTCGCCCTCCCCTTAGACTCCGGCCAGGCTGTAGCCCACTGTGCCCGAATCTGGCCAAGGCCCGAGATCTGAGCCCGGGCTTTCCTGTCAGTTTATCGTCCTAACAGGTCCTGTGACCTGGGCGAGTTAACCTTAAGGTCTCAGAACCTTAGCGCCTCCCTCTGTAAAACCAGGGTATTGCAGAATTGGCATTTCATAGTGGACGGCCCAGGGAGTTAGGGTTCGCTTTCAGACTTGGCACTGACTCGGGTAGGCCCCAGAGATCCTTACCCTAAAACGGGGAGAGGGACGGAGGGGAGCCATGAATGCGGGAATGTGCCAGCCGAAAGAGGTTCAAGAGTTTCCCCCAGAATATTAGCCTGAGCACACTGGGCCAGCCTTGGCGGCACTCTGCAGTCCTGTGTGAGCCCAGCTCTGCAGGCAGCCACGTGAAGACCCCAGACCTTCCCCCCCAGAGCCTGCCGGGCAGCCGAGGGGGCGCCATTACCCCCTGAGGAACAGGCCACCCTACCCAGCACGAGCAGGAGCCGGTTAGGACGCTCGGCTGGGGGTGTGCGGTGACCTGGACGCTAGCACAGTGCCACCCACCCCCTCCCAAAAACGTCCTGATCTCCAGGACGTGCACATTTTACAAAAGCGATTCGAGATCTTGGGGTGGGAGCTGACCCTGGATTGCCCAGGCGGGGCCAGTGCAATCACAAAGATCAGGATCCGGGGAAGCACGGGTTGAAGAGATGCTGGGCGCGAGCCAAAAGCCAGGACGTGGACTTTCCCCCGCTGCCGGCTGAGCCCACCGCACACTTCCCACCCCCACCGCTCTACGAACCCCGGTGTATATGGTTTGCGGCCACTGCGTTTGTGGTCATTTGTTTTAGCAGCAATGGGAAAGTGATACCCCAGGTCAAGTTAGAAAAGGGAAGCAAATCCAGCCCTCGAGGTTCTCAAACCCAGGGTCGCAGCCCACCGGTGGGTGTCAGAGTCCATTGCTTTGCCTTCTTCTACTGACCGCCACCACGACTCTCGGGGTGATCCTGTCCTTGCTGCATTTCACATGTGACCCGGGGGTAGCCACTAAGCCCGTTCCCCACTGGCTAGGATTGGGGTGGAGGTGTGGGAGTGACAGCCCAGCCCTGCACCCAAGTGCAGGGGCGGGGCGGGTGGATGTCACAGGAACCCATGGGAGGGGACTCTGACCGCTTGTGGGGTTTCCCTGGACACCTGACTCAGATGAACTGAAGGTGGTCTTGGGAGGGAGGACCGACGGTGTCCCCCTCCCCTGCCACTGACAGTCACTATCAGGGGCTCCTCGGATACCTGAATCTCTGGAGGACCAGCAGTGCCCCCTCTGCCCCCACCAACAGTTACCGGGGGGACTCCTCTGATCTCGGAGACGGGCACCCACAGCTCCCATGCGAGGATGGACACACGTCCCTCTTATGGCCACGGAGACGCAAGGGAGATTGTGCCAAGCAGCCTTCCCGCCTGGCTTCCTGCTGCTTGGGCCAGCGCCCTGCCCTGCTTGCCTGCCGGCAACCTGGCCATCGTCGTCCCGTGACCAGGAGGAGGCCGCCCGGCTGCAGCTCAGCCAGCCCTGAAACCTGAGCAAGGGGGCGGGGCGTCTCCACCGCAGCCATCCCGCGGAAGCCGGTTCCAGGAAGCAGCAGCTCTCTCTCCGGTCCCCAGGCTCCGCTAACCTGGGGGAGGGGGGTGCTGAGGGGATGCGGCCCAGGGCTCCCCAGTGTGAGGTCCGTGTCCCGTCCCCAGGCCCCTCGGCCTCACCTTAGGGACGTGGAAATGGGCACGGCTGCAGTGGCAGGACCAGGATCGACTGCCCAGTCGCTCATCCCCGCACACTCCCGCATGCCAGGCGCCAGACACCCTGAGGTCCATGTTCCTAAGTAGGAGGTGGGCTTTTGAGGATGGGCAGCAGAGGAAAAACAAACAGCCCTCAAGCCAGCTTTAAAGCAAAGCAGGTCACCCGGGAAGCGGACCTGAGCCTGGGCTGCGGGCTGGGCTCAGGCTGACCTGTTTTCTGTGGGATTCCCGCAGCCGGGGGCCGGGCTTGGATGGGGTCGTCCCAGGTCCCAGGTCCCAGGTCCCAGATCCAGGAAGGAGGCGGGGGACAACGTGGGATGAGCAGCCCTTGTTTGAACAAACCTGCGGGAGCAGCGAGCTGGGGGCCCCGGCTAAGGACCCCCGCTCCGCGCCGGGAGCAATGGCCCTCCTGGAAAGCCCGGGCGCCCCCACGCGCTCGGACACGGCGAGTCCTCCCAGCCCCGCGGACGCGTGGAACGCAGCGTGCCCGGGGCTGAGTGGCCCGAGGGGCACGGCCACACCCTGCAGCGCGGAGCCCTGCCGCCCCGCTGACCGGGGGCTGGAGCGGCCCGAGCCGGCGCCGGGGAGCGCGGTCCCCCCGCCCCTGGGCCTCCCCCGCCTTGCCCCGGGAGGGCGGCACCGGCGCCGTCTACACCCGCGAAGGGGCGGCGCCCGCGGCCGGGGACCGAGTCTGTGGGGGTCCTCCTGCCCTGGCAGGTGGGGGCAGTCGCCCCTCGCCCCCAGCCTCAGTTTCCCCTTCCGGAGCTGCGCCGGGCGCGCCGGGCGCCGACGTCCGCCCCTCTACCCCGAGGGCTGGGCGGGCCCTCGCCTCCCGCGACCGCCGTCGCCCCGGGTCCCCGCCCCCGGCCCTGGGGCTCGGCCCCGAGGCCCCGCCCCCCGCCCACGAGGAAGTGGCTGCGGCGCGGCGCGGGGCGCAGAGCCGGCTCGGCGCGTCGACTGCCCAGAGTCCGCGGCCGCGGCGCCCCGAGGTGAGGGGCTCGGGCTGGGGCGGGGGCGCGGGGGCCGCCCGCAGGTGGGGCGCGCGGGGGCGGAGGGGGCCCGGAGGTGCGGGGCGCGGGCGGCGGTGGGCGAGGGGCGCGCGGAGCCGGCTGTGCGCCCCGGGAGCGCTCGGGGGGGGGGGGCTCCGGCCCGCGTGCGCCGCCCCGCCGCGCGCCCCCTCCGGCCCGGCCTCGCCGCCGCCGCGGTGGCCCCGTTACTTGGGGCCGGCGGGCCCCCTGCCCAGTCACTTCCCCCGAGCCTTCCGGGTTGCGGCGGCCGGGAAATGAGCTGGCGCCCACGCCCAGCCGCACCCGCCCCGCCCGCGGGGTCCCAGGCTGCGGGGTCCCAGGCTGCGCCGCTCTGAGCTGCGGGGCGCCCGGAGCCGTGCGGCGCCTCCCTTGCTGGAGGGGCGCACCCGGGGGCAGTGGCCGCGGAAGCCACGGCTCCCGGAAGTCAGGCGCACCCGTGGCTTTTTAAGTCTCAGAGACACTGGGTAAAAATGTCCGCTTTACGGACCGCTGACCTAGGCTTGGCGAGCCTCAACATGCCCCATCTGGAAAATGGGCACCTTACGAGGTCTCATAAGACAGCTGGCGACGGGCCGGGCACAGGCGGACAACAAATGGGTGCTATTGTGGCCGGTGTAAAGCCGGCCCAGGGTGGCCAGTGAGTCTGCCCAGGTGGCCCTGACCTCCTGACCGCTGGGGTTTGGAGCTGGCGCCCTCAGCTGTGCCATTCCCAAGCTGCGGTCTCAGTCTGTTTCCTCCTGTGGCTAAGCAGAGGGAGAACGGGTCGGGCTAGCCCGGGGCTGTGTACCGCTGGCCGGGCTGGGGAGGGCAGTGGGCTTGGTCGTGTGGCCAGGGGTCTGTTCCGAGAGTTGCGCTCCTCGCCCGGTCACATCACAGCGCACCGTGGCCTTGTCCCCCGTGACGCTCAGGGTGACCCCGTGTGCAGAAGGCCGCGCCCGAGTGGGTGCGGGTGAGCGGGGTGCTGCCCGTGTCCAGCGATGCTTTCTGTACAGCCGCGCCAGCACTGGGTGTTCCGTGTGTCTTAGCTCTGGGTGGGTGACGCGCGCTGGTGCGTTACGGTGTCTTGTGACTGTTGTGTGACCGTCCCGTGTCCCTGGACTCTGCCTTCGCTTGTAAGGATTCTAGAGCCGAGGAGGGGAGGAGCCCCCGGGGGGCTACTGCACGGCACCCCCCCCGGGGGGGGGGGCTGCTGTCCGCTACAGGAAGTTGAGCAACCGCCTAGCGCGGAGCGCAGTGGCTCTGAGCACTCCGCTGGGCGGGGACTTCCCGGAGCGCCTGCTTGGTTTGGCCTGGGATGCAGCCTAGAGTCTCTGGGCTGAGCGCAAAGCCAGGCGAGGAGGGGCTGCCCGCGGGGGCCCTGGCCGGCCACCCCTTCCCCCGTCATTTCTGGAGAAGCTCCCCTCGCCGGGGGGGGGGGGTTGCCCCACCAGGAATACCCCACCAGCCCCTGCCCTGTGAGCTAAGCTGTGTCCCCCCATTCTGGCACTCCTGGACGGAAGCCCTGGCCCCACCCTGCAGACCCAAGCCCGCCCGCCCCGGCCCCTGCTGCGGAGAGCTCTGGCCTCCCTGCTCCGCCCCCACGCCATCCCTGGGTCCCTTGCTGGGCGTGGGCTGCGTGGGCTGCGCTCCTGGGAGTGCGGGATGGTGAGGCTCTGCGGGAGCCAGTGGGGGAGTGTGTCAGGGACTGGGCCCCTGGCCCTGCCCCCCGCTGGTTGCACTTGGCCTCTGGGGGCTGGGGTGGGCACAGCCTTGAAAGAGCCCCCCCCCTCTAGTTCAGCAGCCAAGGAGGCCATGGTGATGTGTGGCTGGGAGTCCTGGGGGCCACGGCCACCACCAGCCTTTGCCTCCCGCGGCGCCACGGCTGAGTGCTGATGCGGTAGGCACAGCCCCAGCTGCATTCTTGCAGTAGGGGGCTGGCAGCGGGCGGGCCTGCCCCACCCGGCCCCTGTGCCGTGTCCTAGGCTTAGGGGACTTCTTGAGAAGGAGTGAGTCGTGGGCAGAAAGGCGGGGCTTGGGGGCTGCTTCCCAGGTCTGTCTGGAGCCCCCGCTCAGCCCTCTGACTCCCACTTCCTCCTTAGTCCAAGCTGCAGCCGGGGCGTCATCGCTGAGCCCCCGCGGGAGCCACCCACATGGGGAAGTGGACCGTTCCTCTCTGCCACCCCCTTGTCTCTGCCCTGCCCATTTAAGGGGTGGGTTCTGTTTCAGTTCCTGCCGCAGTGTGATTGGCACATAGGCTCCCCCTGAACCTCCTGCCCCCACTGAGAACCTGTGTGTGCCAGGAATTGGGGGACAGTGCTCCCCAAGTCCTCTCGGCTGTATCCCCCACGGGGACCTGCGGCTGTGCTCCGTCCTCACGGCCTGGGGCACACGGCGTGTGTGAGAGCCGAGGCCCTGACACTGGGATCTGCCCCCCGAGTCTGGGCTCCACCAGCCCCCCAGTTCCTGCTTCCTGGGCTGTGGTTGCGGGCTGGGGTGGGATGGGGGAGGGTTGGCCTCCTCCGGGCCCTGGCCGGATGTCACAGTGTTGCAGGTGGGCTTCCGGCCTTGGCCTGCTTCTGCCCGGGGTGGTGACCTTGGCAGTGGGGGTGGGGCGGGCGAGCATGGTCACCCCTCCCCTGTGCCCTGTCCCCTTTGTGAGCAGCCATTGCCCGGCCCAGGGTACCCAGCAGCCTGCTGGGCTGGCCAAGGGTTCTGAGGTGGCGCTTCCGGTGGCTACTTCACAAAGAGACCTTGTGAGGAGACAGGCAGGGAGGTGGCGCCCCGGGGGCCGCCTGCTTGCTCGCGCGGCTGCATGCGTCTGGCCCCGGCCCAGTCCAGCCAGGCTGAGGACCCTCCTGGGACCTCACTCTGGGCATGGGGGAACCAGACGCGACCCCGCCCCCTACACGTGTGCACGCATGTACGTGCCCTGTGCTGCTCCCGGGGACTCTACTGGGCCCTGCGACCAAGGAGAGCAGTGCTTGCATCGCCTTGAGGGGTCAGGGGCCGGACAGGACGGGCAGGGCTCACCGGGCTCTGCTGGGCATCCTCGGGTGCCTGTGCCTGGTCCCTGAGCCCTGGGCGCCGCAGCCCCTGCCTCCCACCTGGGTCTGAAGTCGGCACACACACACACACACACACACACACACCCCCGGTGAGGGAAACCAGGTGTCTGTGAGATCAGCAGCGCCCCCTGGGCCAGCTCCAACCGAGCCGGCAGCTCTCGAGGGGCCAGGTGGGCACCGGGGCTCCTGGTCCAGTCCCGGCCCCTGTCCCAAGGTGAGCTGCAGCCTCCCCAGGTGCCGCCCTTGGGCGCAAACACCTGCCAGTCTGACGAGGGAGGCAGCCAAGTTACAAGTGCCACCACCTTGGGGGCACCGACGCGGCTGGAGCCCAGCGTCTCCCACCCAGCGTGGCCGAGGCATTCCTGCCCGAGCCGCCTTGGTGGATGTAGGCTGCTGGTGTTTAAAATAGCTGTGTAAGGCTGAGAACTCCGGCAGGGAGACGAGAAAGATTATCTACCGAGTGCCAGGCTTGCAGCCCTGGGGGCAGGAAGTGAACCAGATAAGAAGCATGAATGAAGGTGTGTACTCGCCGTATCCGCAGGCGAGGCTGAGCTGGGCTGGGGACGGCTCCCTGGAAGGTGGCACTGGAGCCTAGGGTGGCACAGCAGCAGGTGCAGAGGGAAGAGTGTCGCAGGCCGCGGGGACAGCCAGTGTGGACGCCTGAGGCGGGAGCGTGTCTGTGCTTCAGCACTGGTCTGGCTGGGTGCCATCACGCTGTAGCGGCCAGGGGGTGCCACATCGTGGCCACCTGTGGGGTGCCGGGTGTGGCAGATCCTGTCTCACCGTCTCGGCACATCCAGGGGGAGGCAGGATTCCTGTTCCCATTCTGCAGGTGAGAAAACTGAGGTTCAGAGAGGGCGCCCAGCCAGCAAGCTGGGCTGCAGGCCCCTGCGTCTCTGGGACAGGGAGGCAGGGAGGCGGGGGGAGGGCAGCACCCACTCGAGGGAGTGACCTGTGTTCTACGCCTTCTGAACGGGAGGACTTGGCCACGTAGAGCTGGGTAGGCATTGGGGGGGGGTGGGGCAGCGCTGGGCTGCACACGGGCACGGCCTTCCCTGTGGCAGGAATGGCACAGTAGAGGCCCAGGAGGCGGACCTGCTTCTGGCCAGACACGGTCAAGGGCGGCACGCAGTGTCCTGAGGAGGCGGAGTGGCCAGCAGGCCAGGGACAGCCCGGGAGGAGGCGCCTGGGCTCGGAATGAGCGGGGCTGGGTGGAGGGATGAGGGTGCTGGAGGCTGCCCATGAGCGCAGGGGCAGGGGCAAGGCGAGGCGGGAGGCATGGTCGTGGGGCTGCTGTCACACCCCCCTCCTCCAGGTACCCAGCTGCCCTCTGTCCCATCCTTGACCTCTGTGGCTGGGCCTGGTGGGCACCTCAGGCGGGGTCTGCCTGGCCAGGGTTCCCCTGCGGCACGCCCCCACTGCTCCCTCCCGGAACCGCCCCGGGATGCCGGCCAGTGGGGAGCCCTTCCCTGCGAGCTGTGGGCCGCTGGAGCCCAGGGCCCACGGATTCTCTCCCCCGTGTCGGGCGCAGGAGCCGAGCGGCCATGGCCTACCACAGCTTCCTGGTGGAGCCCATCAGCTGCCACGCCTGGAACAAGGACCGCACCCGTGAGTGGTGGAGTGGGAGCTCCGGGGGCACGCAGCAGCCCTGAGGCCCAGGGCACAGCCTGACCCCGGCACTGGGCTGCGTGAGGCCGAGGGGTCGTTGGGAGCACTCGGGGGGCAGAGAGCCATAACAGGGCAGCCGCCAGCCAGGGCAGAGGGTCCCGTGGCCACGGCAGGGGCGTCCAGGGGTAGTGTGGGTGCAGGTGAGAGGTGGCCAGGCCCGGGAGCAGGAGGGGCAGAGGGCAGGCCCCGGCTGGGCACCCACACCTTGCACTGCCACCCCCCCTACCCCCCGCAGAGATCGCCATCTGCCCCAACAACCACGAGGTCCACATCTACGAGAAGAATGGGGCCAAGTGGACCAAGGTGCACGAGCTGAAGGAGCACAACGGGCAGGTGACCGGTGAGTCGGGCCGGCGGGACCCCGGGGCCGGCGCGAGGCAGGATGCAGGGGACGCGCCCCGGTGCAGCCTGGCTCAGGTCGCAGGAGGAGGACCCTGTGAGGGCTGTGGGCGTCCGGAGGCTGGATCCCGCAGCTCGGCGGTACCACGCCTGCTATTTTCTTCCTCTCGTCTCTTGGAGGGGCTGTAGACCCCCTCCTAGCCTCTAGGAGCCCCCCACCCCCACCCCACATAAACGCTGGATCCCAGGAAAAAGCCCACATGCTGGGCACACGCGCCCCAACGTGGCCAAGGCCACTGAGCAGCCATGGCTGCCTGGGTGGCTTCAGCCTCGGGTGTGCCCGGCCCCTCCCCGCACAGGCATCGACTGGGCCCCCGAGAGTAACCGCATCGTGACCTGCGGCACGGACCGCAACGCCTACGTGTGGACGTTGAAGGGGCGCACGTGGAAGCCCACGCTCGTCATCCTGCGCATCAACCGGGCCGCCCGCTGCGTGCGCTGGGCCCCCAACGAGAACAAGTTCGCCGTGGGCAGCGGCTCCAGGGTCATCTCCATCTGCTACTTCGAGCAGGAGAATGACTGGTGGGTCCCCCGGGCAGGGCCGGCGTGGGCTGGGGGAGCCTGGGGGCCCGCCGAGAGCGTCTGCAGACAGCGGGGACACAGGCCATGGCGCCCACCTTGCCGATGCGCTGAGGGAGGCCCGCGGCACTCACCTGTCAGACCCCCAGCACAGCCCCACCCACCCCACGATGCCGAGATCCAGCCGAGGCAGAGGGGCCCCGCCCTAGGGGACCAGAGCATCGCCGCCCGCCCGCACCCTTCCCTTCGGGGACCTGGGTGGCTGCCGGGGCCTGGAGCTCCGGCCACCCACCTGCCGTGTCTGCCCCTGCCCGTCCAGGTGGGTATGCAAGCACATCAAGAAGCCCATCCGCTCCACCGTCCTCAGCCTGGACTGGCACCCCAACAACGTGCTCCTGGCGGCCGGCTCCTGCGACTTCAAGTGCCGGTGAGGGGGCAGCCGTGGGGGCGGGGTGCCCCGCTTCCCCAGAGCGCCCGTGAGGGCTTGGGGTCGTCTCAGCAGGATGCACCCTTTGTCACCTGGGAACACCAGCAGGGTCCTTCCCAGGCCCCCGTCCACTGCCTCATTGGAGCTTCTCACCCCTACAGCATCCTGGCTTGTTTGAAGGAACATGAGTGGGTGTACTTATTCATACTAGGGTGTGAATGACCGACATGCTGGGAAAACCCTGCTCACTGGCTTACGGCTTGGAATTTTCTTGTTGGTTAAGATTTATCTATTTACTTATTTGAAAGAGATATAGAGAGAAGGGCAGAGAGAGACAATGCTATCTTTTCATCTGCTGGTTCATTCCCCAAATGGTTCCAGCAGCCAGGGCTCGGGCCAGGCCAAACCCAGAGATTCAACCACTTGGGCCACCCTCCGCTGCTTTCCCAGGTGTGTTAGCAGGGAGCTGGATCGGAAGTGGAGCAGCCGGGACTCGGACTGGTGCCCATATGGGATGCTGGGCTGCAGGCAGAGGCTTAACCTACGCCACAGCGCCCGCCTGGAATGTCGAGTCTGCAGTTGCTTTTCACTGCTGGGCCCAGGGCCATAATCCCCCTGCACCAACTGCCCCTTCGGACCCTGGCTGTGTGCAGCGTGTATCCTAGAGGCTGGGGGCCGGGACAGCCACGGGCTCCCATCAGCTATAGATGCTCAGCTCGCCTGAGGTCCCCCAGGCTGTCACACAGAGTGGGGCACTGAGGCCCAGGGTTAGCCAACAGGAAGACGAGGTCGAGCAGGGCCAGTTTGGGCAGGTGACCCCCCCACGCCCTGACTGCTGGGGAGGTTGCCTCACTGGCCAGCGTGGGGAGGGGCTCCCCTTCCCAGGCCCCGCGAGTCCCCAGAACCCCCTTTCGGCCTCTCCGGGCAGGATCTTCTCGGCCTACATCAAGGAGGTGGAGGAGCGGCCGGCGCCCACCCCGTGGGGCTCCAAGATGCCCTTTGGGGAGCTGATGTTCGAGTCCAGCAGCAGCTGTGGCTGGGTGCACGGCGTCTGCTTCTCGGCCAGCGGCAGCCGTGTGGCGTGGGTCAGCCACGACAGCACCGTGTGCCTGGCTGATGCTGACAAGAAGATGGCGTGAGTGGAGAGGGAAAGGGCGTGGGGAACCCGCGGGGACGGGGCGGGCGGAGGGGCTGACGCTCTGTCCCCCTCAGCGTGGCCACCCTGGCGTCTGAAACGCTGCCGCTGCTGGCCGTCACCTTCATCACGGACAACAGTCTGGTGGCCGCGGTAAGTCAGGTGGCCGCGCGGGCCTCCCTCCCCCTGGCGCCCGGGATGAACAGGGCAGCGGCTGGGCACAGGACAGGGCCATCCTTGCGCCGTCTCTGTGACCAGTGCGTGGCTGGGGAGGGCGGGAATGCGCTCCCCGCAGGGCCGTCAGGGGAACTGTGCGGGCTGGACTCCCCCCGGCCACACCAACGCCCCCTCCCCCGCCCGCCCAGGGCCACGACTGCTTCCCGGTGCTGTTTACCTACGACAGCGGCGCGGGGACGCTGAGCTGCGGCGGGCGGCTGGACGTGCCCAAGCAGAGCTCGCAGCGCGGCCTCACGGCCCGCGAGCGCTTCCAGAACCTGGACAAGAAAGCCAGCTCGGAGGGCGGCGCGGCCGCGGGGGCCGGCCTCGACTCGCTGCACAAGAACAGCGTCAGGTGAGGGCGTGGCTGCGTGGAGGGGGGCCCCCAGAGCGCACAGACCCTGGTGTCACACACGAGGGACCGGGGGGGGGGGGGGGGGGCCAGCCAGTGGGGGCAGAGCCGGTGAGGGGCTGGGGCCTGCAGCTCTGGATGGCCAGCAGCCAGCAGGGTGAGGACAGAGCTAAGGGTTCCTCCACACCTCCCTGAGGACCAGGGCTGGGGTGGGGCAGAGCACCTTCAGAGAGCCACAGGGGTGCACGCCCTGCGGAACGGAGGGAGCGCCCTGCCTGCACCCTCCCGTTGCTGCCCCATGGACTGCACCCCTCTGCCCCTTCTGGCCTCACCTCACCTCTGTGCCGCCTTTCCTGCCACCTGCCAGCGTCTGGTGCTGTTTGCTTTCCTGCTGCTGACCCCCAAGCAGGCACTTGAGCCCACTGGCCGTGCCGTCCCTAGCCGGGCACACCCACCCCCACTTCTCCCCAGAACTTCGGGGAGCAGTCAGCCCTCCATCCTCTTTGCAGCCAGATCTCGGTGCTCAGCGGGGGCAAGGCCAAGTGTTCGCAGTTCTGCACCACGGGCATGGACGGCGGCATGAGCATCTGGGACGTAAAGGTGAGGCTGCCTGCCCGCACCCGGGGGCCGACCCCTCCTCTCCCGCCCTCCCCGGCGGCTGCCTTGGGTGGCTGGGGGCTCATCTCACAGCACCATTCAAACCCGGGTCTGCGGGACCCCATATCCTCTGCGGTGGTGGAGCACGATGGGGGTGTCCCTGGCAGCCTGGACCCAGCCTGTCCCCTCTGCCTCCTTGCAGAGCCTGGAGTCGGCCTTGAAGGACCTGAAGATCAAGTGACCTGCGCGGAGTGCCGCCCTCATCCCTGTTGCCGGGAACGGGGACAGGCTAGGGGTCGCAGTGCAGGTTCCCACGGGCTGCTCCCTCAGAAGGGGGCAGGGGTGGCTGGGGACTCTTACCTACTCAAGAAATATGTGCCTTTTTCGGAAAGAAATGCTTTTGTTTACTGTCAGACGATGCCCCCAAAGCACTATGCTGGTCATGAACTGCTTCAAAACGTGGAGGTAATAAAATGCAGCGTGGACACGCTTGACCGTTGGCAAAGAGCCTGGTGTTGCATGGGCACCGCTGGCCTTCCCAAGCCCTGACCCCTGCGCCCAGCCCTGGGTGTGCCCTTCTCAGAGCGGCCTGGAGGAGGTTCCTGTGAATCAGGTTCCTGGACAGACTGCGCGTCCCGGCTGCTAGGGACCTCAGTGAAGACGCATCCCTCACTGCTTTCTGATAAACGCGCCTCGTTTAGGAAGACCTTCCCCTTTCCTAGTTTTGTTTTGGATTTTCACTTTATTTGAAAGGTGGACTTCTCCATCTGCTATTTCACTCCCCCAGTGCATGCAACAACCAGGGCAGGGCCAGGCGGAAGCCCAGAACTCCGTCTGCGTCACCCGCTTCCTCCCAGGGTACTCGTTAGCGGGAGGCTGGATTGAAAGCAGCTGGGTGTGCAAGCCACACGTGCCAGTACAGCTGTGGGCACCCCAGTGGCAGAAACTCCTGCTTACTCAGGTCGTCCGTGCCCTTTGGTTACCTACTTACGTAGTCCTGGTTTTTCTTTTAGTCTGAGAGAGGTTTCCTAGTGGAGCATCTTACAGCTGTAGGATAAGTGGAATCTAAAGAGCCCTCATCCCCCACTGTTCTAGTGCCTGTCCCTCAGGTCACTGCAGGAGCTCAGGTGACCACAGGTCAGGCCACGCAGGCCCAGTGCCAGCCTTCTCAGCCCACTGCCCAGACACCTGCACACTGCTGTGGCTCCCTCAGACAGAATGGCCCTGGCACATGCCTTCTCTGAGACGCCCTCAGCGGTGTGAGGCAGGGGCTCTGCAGACATCAGCCGCAGTCTGCCTCAGAGGGGCACAGGCCACCGTCAGGTGCTTCCTGCAGGGAGGGAGACATCAGATGGCGTGGTCAGGGGTGTCGGGCACCTCCACAGGTGCTCAGTTCCATCTCTGCAACCCCGCCCCCAGCGTGGCACCCAGTTGTATCCACCGACCCACAGAGCTCTTGGGGCCATGCACAAATGTGAAGCGCCCCTCAGAGGACAGGCACCGTGGGGAAGGTAGTGTCCCCACCCTGCTGTTCCTGCCTGTGTGGCACATGATGGGTGCCTGGCTGCCCTTGCCTACGACCCCTGCTTGGTTTAAGGAGGGAGAGGTACTGGATCTGGCATCAGAGGTGTGTCCTCGCCCCGTCCAGAGGTCCAGCCCACACACCCTGCTTGGTCCTGCCTGGGTACGTGCTCTCTGCACCTGCCTCGCTGTGTGGAAACGGGGTGGGCACAGAAGCCAGACTGTAGTACAAGGACTACGATAATGTCAAGTTTAATCTGCCAAATATACAAGTTGAACTTGTGGAGCATGTCTTGCCTGGGTGCTACACAGTACACAGAGGTTCCTTGAAATGATTGATGGGCAGGGTTAAAAACGGGCACTGACCTTGGCCAGGTGGGCAGGAATGGGGCAGGGATAGGCAGAGAAGAGGCCTCAGTCGGAGGGGACTGGCCAGGGAGAAGCTGGGACCCTCAGGGACCTAGGGGCCCAGACTTGCGGACAGCAGCCCCTCTGAGCGAGCACCCAGGCAACACAGACTAGGGCCGGCCGTCGGGTCTGTCAGCAGCTGCCTCCGGCACAGCCGCCCGCTAACGTGCATCTACCAGACAAATAGAAGCTCTTCTTCCCCCACCTCCCCGGCACCCCCAACAAGGGTTCTGACTTCTAAAAACAGCAAACATTCACATGGTTACACAGGAGGTGCCGTCCTGCATCTTTCTGTCTCAAAGGTCGCAGCTGCCCCTCCCCCCACACCCCCGCCGGGTTCTGTGCCGGGATGAAGAGGCGGCCCCAGGCCGTGGGGGCTGCTGCAGTGGTGCCAGGGCAGGCGACAGGGGGCGGTCCCGGCGGTGCGGCCGTCTCCCCGGCACGTCCTCCCACAGGCCGCGCCTACTTGTTCAGGGACAGCGCCTGCATTCGTTTTCCTGACAAGGTTGCATCGTCTTTTGCTGAGGGGTCAGAAGGAAGGCAGGAGTTAGAACCAAGCACCTGGAACCACAGAACTGTCCACCTAAGTGGCTTTGTGACACATCTTGTGCAGTTGGCTTGGGGGGGAATGAGAAAGAGGCCATGAAGGGGTCCCCGGGGGACCTTCCTGGTAGTGCCCTGGCTGCCCCTACCTCACGGAGCACTGCACCTGCACGAAGCCACCAGCATGCACCCTGGCAGGCACACGGAAGCCCTTACCACGCTTCCCTGCCATC